GTGTCCCCCCATGTCCCTCCTGTGTCCCCACCTGCCCCAGCCGCTCCTGCAGGATGCAGGTGAGCTGCTCCTTGGTGTAGGGGGCAAAGTGCAGCAGGCAGGGTCTGCTGGCCAGGTGTGCTCCCAGCCTGGCCAGGCTCCGGTCTGTCAGGTCCAGCGCGTTGGCCAACCCTGTGGGGTGAGGAGAGGAGGAGGATGAGGGCTGTGCCCTGAGGAAGGCAGGAGGGATGTGCAAATGCAACCCTCATCTGCCCCCCAAAACAGGGAGAGTGTCCTGCACTCACCTATGAGGACAAGCCTGGAGTTGGGCAGTTGTGGCCACTCAAAGAGGGTGTAGAGCACGTCCTGGCCTTTGCTCTCCAGCTGGTCCAGCTCATCCAGCACCAGGAGGCTGTGGGGAGAGCCCAGATCAGCCCCCACAGCCCATCACAGCACCCCAAGGAGGGATTGCTGCTGCCAGGGCACCTCTGCCAGCATCCAGGGGGGACCCCACACACCCCCAGGACAGGATACTCACACCATGGGCCCCTTGGCCGTCAGATGCTTCTCCAGCCTGCGCACGCTCTCCATGCCAGTGGCCATAGGCCTGCCCCGGGGCCTTTTTTTTGCAGCCCCAGGTGCTGTGCCACGGCAGGGAAGATGCCCTGAGGACTGCCCAGTGCCATGCAGTTCAGCACCACCGTCCTGCTCCCGGCCAGCTCATCCTATGGGAATGGGAATGTTAGCCCTGCTGCCCCCAGCACAGCCCCCCAGGCCCCCAGGCTGTGGCACTCGCCTTGCAGTCTCGGTCCCAGGGGCTCCGGACACGTAGAGGCTGCCGGGACGGCGCCCGAGGACGTGATCCCGCAGAAACTGCCGGAGGAATCCTGTCTCCCTCTCCCTGCCCTGCAGGCGCTCGGGCACAGCAGCGTGCAGCACCTGCTTGGCCTGCTGGTAGCAGGTACCTGCACGGGGAGGGAGAGGGCTCAGGGGTGCTGCCAGGATCCCATCCCAATCCCCATCTCTGACCCTAAACCTATCCCAACTCCATCCCCATCCCCAACACTTTCCCCATCCCTATCTGTTCCACTATCTTCATCTTCATATCCCCATCCCTGGCTCCATCCCTATCCCAGCCTCAACCCCATCCCTATCCTCATCCCCAACCCCAGTTCCATCCCCAACCCTAACCCTATCTGTTCCTCCATCTCATCCCCATCCCTATCCCTTCCCCCATCCTTACCCTCATCTCTGTATCCCCATCCCTATCCCAACCCCATCCACAATCCTGTCCATTCCCCCATCTACTTATCCTCATCTCCACATCCCCATCCCTGGCTCTATCCCCATCCATTCCCCCATCCCCATCCCACACTCACTTTCCTGCAAGCCCAGCTGGGTACGCACACGCTGCTTCGAGATTCTGGCCCCCCACGCCGCGGGGTCAGCCCTGAGCTCTTGGGGGTCTCAGGGGAGCCTGGGGTGTCCCCGAAGAGCAGGCGGCGGCCTTGGTTCTCCTTACTGCGCTTGACCGGGGAGCAGGGCAGGGAGTGGGGGACGTTGCAGAGGTTGTCATCACCTGTGGAAGTGACAGGTTGGAG